ACAGCATGAGCTAACAAAATTCTCACATTGAGATATCATTAGTTACGAATGAATAAATCTGTCAGTTTCTGTTTGAATAAGGAGTCTGCTGTTGCGCAGTCTTCAAAGCTTCTCTGTCCACTTTCTTTTGTCTGATTTGTGTTGTCCATATGAATATGTTGACTTGTAACTTCATTTTGAGAGAGTGAAGCAAAAAGCGTTTACAGAAAATGTCACCAATTATCCCCTGGATAAAAAGAGACTTGTATTCAGACATTTAAAAAATATATGTAGTGTATGTTGTACAATATGAAGTACTTCTAATAAGTGTTGATTTATTTTTAATACCAGGTAAAGCCATCATTACAAAGAATTTATTCTCTATAAATGTGCTGTTTGATATTTTCTGCTTATACTGATTATTTGTTAAGATCAGGAATATTTCTGGTTCAATTTAACGTATGCTCCTGGTATATAATTTTCTGAAGAGGCCTAAATTAATATTTAATGTCAAATGTTTTGGCTTATTGCTGTGATCTGAACTACAGATTTTGATGTACAGACCAACCAACATTCACCTTAACCTTTAAATTCAGTTGATCAGAGCATATTGTCGTTGTCTGTGTGTGTCTGAGATGCTCTGCGCTGAATACCTGGTCTTACTAATTACATTTCACTTGCAGCAGGAATGACACATTCAGGGAAGAGAGAACAGACAGAGAGAAAGGGATGAGCAAACACGGGAGGCGAACGAGAGAAGAAAAGAAAAAGGTGCTAATGCAACTTTAAAAATAGTCTCGAGCGAAGACAGAAAGACAATGTGAAAAAGTTGTGACTTGCACTTAGGAGAAGCAGGTGAGATGCTGGACACGGGAGGAAAAAAAGAACAAAAATTGATTTAGTTTAAGTGTCATAGTTTGAAGGCAGAATGTCTTTTAATTGTCAACATTTACTTCAGCCTTTGAAATGTTTTTCTTTCTATACTCCTCAGCATATTAACAACAAATCAAGCTTTGGACATAAAAGAAACACTGACGTATCTGTCCACACTTGATGAGTGACGTTGGAACATCATTTCCTCAAGAGAGGCAGATTTTAGCACTCAGAAAATTACAGAAACGTTCGAACATTTGCGTGTAATGATGGCATGAGCAGAAAGAGTTAAAGGGATAACGCAAATCGTTTGATAATTAGGATATTATACATTTCATGACCTTTCCACAAAAGCCCACTTCAAAACCTCTGACCTCTCGCTTTAGCACAATCAGGCACTCAGACACTGAGTTCTATCTCAAGGAAAATGTAAAAAATATGAAAACCTAAATAAAAAAACTGTACTGACTGACCTGAGATTGAACTTTTCTCTACATCCACACAAACATCTCAACACACACACACAGTTTTGCACATGCAATGACAGATACGATCCATTCCAGCAGTGGCTGTCTGTGTTGAGGCAGGGGTAAATGGCTAATTTGAGTGTTTGTGACAGGCAGCCTGAGGCAGTGCGGGCAGCAGCTCATCTTTTCCATAGGTGTAGCCTTCACACACCCCTAAGCTCCTCATCAGCCCACCAGTGAGACGCTGCCTGCTTGCTGTGGAGCCAAGAATGCCTGTGATGAAACAGAGCAGTGGGTGCAAAGCTTTACACATGTTGGCGTAATTGCATTTGTGTTACAGAGGTGTGGGTGGGGATGCATGTAGTTTCCTATCTATCGTTCCCTCTGATAAGCATTACAACTACTAGTGTTGGGCGGTATACCGTTTTGTAATGAAAACTGTTTTTTATTTTTGTTATGATATGACTTTTCTGAATACCGGTATAGCCTGAACACATGTGGAACGTTTCGTCGCAGCCGCCAGTGAGCTGTTTCCGTGGGGACACATTTTGTTGCAGCACCGCTAAGCGCATTAGCATGCTAACGTTATTGTTGGAACAACTGGCGGCGGGTGGTGTGTTTCAGATGCTTATATGGTCTAACGTAAAAAAACATCCCGTTTTCACCATCGCTGAATAGTAAACAACTCTTCAGTGACGTGCACGGTTAGATTTAATGCGCTACGTTATAACAGAGATGTTATTGCATGGAGACTCTAGCGTGCTTCTATTGTGAAAAGCCCAGGGGGAAGTAGCTTTGAAGTGTAGCGGAGTTGATTGGTGTGCAAGGTGAGTCATCCTTATTTTATTAACGTAACGATAGACCAGATAAGGATTTTTTTCTCAACCCTTCACGATCGGACCAAAATGCATGATTACTGTCTACAACCAGGCAAAGAAGAAAAGACGTACAAGAGGAGGGAAACAGTGATAAAAGAAAAAAGTCAATAAGCAAAGTTTGTACATTTTATTATCAGCTGACCTGTGAGGAAAAAAAATACCATCAAATACTGTGAAACCGGTGTAATTGTTGAAAATACTGTGATATAAAATTTGGGTCATACCGCCAAGCTCTAACATCTACAGCCAGCTCAAAGTGGCATGTTTTTAGTTGTGAAGAGGGTAAAGAGCTGCTGTATTTGAGCATTCAGCAGTGCTGTTGGCACAATAGCCAACAGGAAACACTAAAAATACAGCAAACCCCACCTGCTAAGTAAAGAAATGTGTAGCTAGAGAAGCTTTAAACTGAAACTCAGAATCTCTCACAAAGCCCTCAAAAGCTGAAACTCTACAACAAAACAAAGACATTGGTTGCTTTTGTTTGGTTGGCTGAACAGGAGTTTTGGGAAAGAACAAACTCAGATTCAGGGAAGAAATGATTGAGCTAGACAGGTGAGCCCAAAACAGGTGTGAGAGGTGGAACCGAACAACAGAGACGGGTGAGAAGTAAGAACAAGGTGAGAATGAAGGCACAAACGTGAAGTCAGACAGACACTCAAAACCTGATGCTCTCTAGACCTTTCACACACTTTACAGGCATCTGCTTCATACCTATTATCACCTTAAAACAAACAAAAAAAGCTTTCACTTCCTTTTACACAAGTGCAGCTCTGCTTTGCACCTGAACGTGATGAAGCTTCCATAAAAATACCCATCAAACCACATCTGCTCAAACCTGTCAAATACACCTTTCATCAGTGTCTGAGAGGCCTCAGCACCACTCCGCTGTGTACAACACACCGAATACACACTCAGTGTCTTTCCATTTCTACACACACAAGTGAACACCGCACAAGAAGGTCATACCAGCATGTTATCAGAGAAAATATAGTAAGCAAAGCTTTTAGAGGAGAGTGCACTGCAATATGTCCCAGCATTTTTGGTAGCGACACCTGCAACGTGTAGGAAGAGAGAGAGCACGGAGGAAACCAACAATGTTCAATTTTAGCAGCGTGAAAAACGTGATGAATCAGTTCTTAAAGTAGAAATATAATTTTAAATCCTTCTGTTTCACATTTAAATCATTCATTTGGGTCTATATAAAGAGGAACTGCAATGCTTTGTCTGAATTCCTCCTCATCGTAACTCCACAAGCCCCTCTTTTCCTCTTTTCTGAGGTGTGTCTCAGATCAACTCGTTTTGAGGCTGTCTTTTTAAATGCAAACAATGCGCTTCGCACTCCAGCCCCCTCCAGCTCCCAGAGCGATTCATTCTAGTTTGACAGAGGAGTTTACGAATAGCGAGAGGAGAATAAAGACAAAGAAATGGCCGTTTGTACGTCCAGACTTTATTTGGTAGTGCCGTCGCAAATACTGTAATGTAACGCTTCAGAAAACATCATAGAAGATAAAAGAAAACTGAACGAGTTGAGAAATATGACCCAAACAGAATATAAAGATATCTACACAGCACCAGGAGAAACTGAAGTCAACTTTTCTGCACTCCTAGAGGCTCCAAGTACACAACAAAATGCATTTAACTAATAAAAATCAGCATTTTGCATGACATGTCCCCTTTAACGTTTGACTGCCATTGATCATCCATGTACATACTGTAGAGACAAACAGAGAGAGAGAAAAAAACTCCTTAGAGGATTAACACACACACACAGGTCTGGTTTGTATATCCCCACGGGGACCGTGCACTGACTTCCATTCATTTTTTTTGGAAATTTTATATCCTAACCCTGAACATTTACCCTAAAATTAGCCTCACAGGTACCTATCTGACCTAAACTCAATTCACACCTTGGTCCTAAACCTAACATGTGAAAATTTTCCACATGAACTATGGCCTTACTGTCACAGTTAAAGGGAGGTTTTGAACCCACGAGTCAGACTGACAAAAGGAAGCTCAAATAAAWTTTAAAGATGTTATTTTCCCAAAAACACAAAAGCAAAGGCTGATGTTGGGAGCAAAACTTACACATGGAGGCACGATCACAAATAACAACAAAAAGGAAACAGGGAGAAATGAACCTGGCATGAAAGCCAATAATGCTGGACTGATGTGAAAATAAAGAAAGCAGGAATAAAAGGGCTGGGGCTAACYAGGAGATGGGAGACAGCTGAGCTTAATGCAAAAGTGTGCAGGTGTAAGTGGGCGTGGCAGCACAGAGGAACAGAAACTGACGGATGGCACAGGGGAAACACAAAATATCATTAACAAAAAACACAAATCATGACACTTACTGTGGTTTTTTTCAAAGCCACCTTCCAAATATGACCTTAAGAAAAATTACAGATGAAATTAAAATGAAAAAAGTAGATTGAAAATTTGATATGT